AGACATGCACTCCCGTAGGCGAAGCCGAGGTTAGCGGCATTGAGGACTATTTCGGCACGACCAACATCATGAGAGGGATGAGGAGGGTATGATGACGAGTCCATTCACAACTTGGGCACATACCAATCAACTTAGAAATTTGCAGCGACCATGTATAGTTTGGCATCCACGTAACAATCCCTTGAAGCTTTCAGGCATGAAGCATTTCCCTTTGATACCAGGGCGCGCGCGAGAATTCAGTGGTCTGCGCATAAGGAAGAAGTTGAGTTGTGATAAACTGTATAATACAATCTGTATTCTCGTGGCGATGTTGTGCTTACATGGCCTGATTTCCCCGGGATGGCATATCCGCCCCACCCGGGAAATATAATATATCAAAGCACGCCCTGCGGTGGCTATATGTCATTGGGGCAACGGATTGAGTCAGTCCGACGGACCTATGCGCCTTAACGGGCCGGGGATGGATAGGACATGCTTTGGTATATTATATACTCCTTGTGTGGGGTGGATATGCCATCCTGGGACATGCTTTGGTATATTATATTTCCCGGGGTGGGGTGGATATGCCATCCCGGGACATGCTTTGGTATATTATATTTTCCGGGTGGTGCGGATATGCCATCCCGGGACTTGGTATATTATATTTCTCGGGTGGGGCGGATATGCCATCCCGGGACATGGCCGGTACAGCCCCACCCATAGGAAACGATCCGATCAATAATGCAATAGGAGAAGTGTAGATGTCGGCGATAGCAATAGTTCATCTGTCGAATATCCTCTCGTCCATCATATAGAAGTTCACTCGCTTGTGGTTGCTGACGGGCGCCTTCACGGGTCTTTGTATAAGCAGTAATTCATGTGGGGTATTAGTGTCAGTCAGAGCCACTCTACCCGCAGTTAGATTTGAAAATGCCATCGTCGAGTGTTCCCATAGTGAGCAACCTGATAGCTGCTATTCGGCTGCTGATAAACGACAGACTGAGGGGAAAGGATCGTTTCGATACTGTGGTCCTTTCCACCTTCACCTGGTTTGTGCTCCTCTTTGCCTACCGATTCTGGAAGTACTCGCAGCGATATGGCCTTCATCAAGGATTCGAGGTTCCTCTCAAGCGCTACGCGCTAAACCAGGTGAGTTGAATCGAACTTCCTATCCACTGCAAGTTACGACGTCGTCACGCATCGCTTTATTTGTTGTGAATTAGGCGAGGCACATACCGCAAATTCGAGCGAAGATCGATGCTGAGCTGGACAAGGCAACCGAGGGGCTCGACGAGATGGTCCTCAAGGATGTGGAACCCAGGAACAATGTCCTACCGAAGCGTAATGAGATAGGACCCATCCTTTACGGCAAGTCTCAGTCGTTTAGAAGGAAAGTCTTCCAGCGAGCTTATTCCCCACATGGAGAAGTGCGCAGAGAAAGAACACATGAACTGGAAGAATGGCGGTCAGAGTGGGTGTGTGTACCACGGTGGTGAGGAGTTATACGAGATGCAAGGGAAAGTAAGTATAGACTGTTCCAAAGCAATACTCATGATGCGCGCTTCTAGGTATTGGGGATGTTCGGCCTTAGCAATCTGCTACATGCTGACGTGTTCACCAAGACCCGACAAATGGAAGCCGAGGTACGATAGCTTTGTGGGGTTTGCATCACTCGGACGACGAGTCACGACTACACGCTAGGTTATCGCAATGACGCTCAATCTGTTCAATGGTAAGCCGGATGAAGGAGCTTGTGGTTCCGTAACTAGCGGCGGAACTGAGTCAATTCTGCTGGCGATGAAGGCCTATAGGGACTGGGGAAGGTAAATCTCTGCTCACAGGCATTCGTCTTCTCACAAAGATCTCATCCGGCTGTGGTACGGTTGTACATAATGAGTTGTTGCTTGATCTTCTTCAGA